TTTTCAATTGAATTTCATCCTGCACTTGCAAGATGCTAGGTGGGACTTGAATTGTCAGCATTTCACAACAGCAGAGGAGGGGAGAAAAAGTCTTAACCACACGTGAACTTATACGTGCACTTACAAAAACCTGTTTTCCTGAGATTTCAATGCAATCCACCAAATTAACAAGGTCAAATAAGCACCTGAAATTTCTTATACTTATCTGATCAAGGTCTCCAAACTCCTGCCACCCATCACTAATTTTGTCATCAAACTGATTCAAATAAAGCAGTGACTTATTTGGTTTTTCAGAGGCCTATCAAAGTTATTTCTTGATTGCAAAACAGGTATACATGATAGCTGATAAACATTTCAGAGTGCTGATTTACTGGTTCATTGCTGTCTGAAAACATGGCTTCTCTCACAAACTTTTGGAGAGCAACTATTATTTATGAACTACTATTGCACTCCTTTGTAAGTGAAAAAGAGATAAGCAATTAGTTCAGCTGACTATGCTTAAATCTAAATCAAGCACAAGCATTGGAGCCAGTCCATTGTAGCCATACAGAAATGGTTTGGGGCAAATGAATTCACTTCTGACAAATATATCCCTTTTCGCTTTTATCCATAGATGTACCAGAAAAACTTTCAGTTACTCTATTAAATACAATCAAACACTGTTTCACCTGAACTACTAAATCCCTTTCTAGTGACAGAATTCACTGCTCCTCCCAGGTCCTTCCTTTGCTCATTCCATATAATAAAAAGGTTTAGTATTATGGAAAGGGGAAAAAAAAATAACCTCACATATTCTTTCCAAGTGATTCTCATAAGGTCCCACTATACCAGAGAAATGTACACATGTGAAGAAAACAAAATTAACCTTAGAGGGTAGTCTAGATCTATATTCCCACATTCACACACAGACGGGCTTTCTTAAGGAAAGATATTGCATCATTTTCCAATTGCAGTGCAATCAGTCATTTGAAACATTTGTTTCATCAGATGCTTATCTGTCTCAAATGACAAGAACATGCTGCTTATTACTTTCTCCAAGTAATATATCCCAGCAGTAGGGGAATGAGATATGTAGTGCAGAATTATACTTTCCCATCCATGTACAAGTCTTACCACAGTTTCCTGACTTTCCTGATATATTTAAGAACCTATTTTCTAAGTTCACTGCTAAGTGTTTGGCTATTATTTGGACAAATCTGTCATAATTATTTCTAATCATTCTTCTAAATATTCCTACAGTACTACCAGTGAAAACACTAACGAAATACCCAGAGTGGGCATCGTTAACACTCATGTTTCACAGTGATGCTATGTGAGTATGCAGGAGAGCAGACACTGCCCTCTTACAAATCTTCCTCTCCCATCCTTTATGGGATTCCTGTACTTACGCATCAGCTGATAAAATCAACTTTTAATCATCTGCATTGGCCTACACAGGCACAGAACAGTACATTTTGAGCCTGTGTATTTGGCAACACATCCTAAAATTTAGCAACAGCCAAGGCTTTGATTCATAAACCGTAAGATCACAAATGACCACATAGATCTTTTCAGTTTTTACTCCAATATCTCATCCAATGTTTAATGTGCACATTAAATAATTGAAAGAATATGTCTTGCCCACTTCCCTTAGAAAAGCAGACAATGGCCAACAACCAAGACAACTTAAAATATTGTTGCTCCATACGCTACTATTTTCAGCCCTTGCTTTTGGGATTGTCAGTACCTCCATAATCCAGAATTTTATAATTTATGGATAAGTACTCAGTAAATATAAATGAAGAACAGTAAGTATATAGAGATGCTGGTTTTTTCCCCTCAAACGAAATACTTCAGGCTGGACTGAGTGATTCTGTAATAGAGCAAAAAGACACTTTCTATGCATAAATGATTTCATTTTTCTGCATGTATTTTACTAACAGGAAGAATCTCCCTATATAACAGAACACAGACTTTTTCCTAAGGACAACCAGCACTATTTTTGAGTCATGTAAAAAATAACAGAGCAGACAAATGGATCAACAAGAAGACACTTTTTCTGGTAGAGAATGGACCAGACAGTGTAATAAGTTAAATCTGCTTACCATCTTAAGAATTCTCCAATTATGGGTGCATGTTTGGGCCTTGCCCACAGTGTTTACACAACCTCTCCAACTAACATCCTGAACCACAGCCAATATTCACTAGAAGCATAAACAACTGTGAAAAATATATAGGAAAACTCTGTTAAGTTTGTAGCCCACAACTGACTACAGTGGGAGTCGATGGAACCTTTGCAATAAAAATAGTGCCCCAAATCAGTTCTCCACATGGAGAAAGTTTCCAATGATAAGGGACACATGTAAGGCACATTCTTTAAAAAACCTGCTCAAAAGCAGCTCATTGTTCATAAAGGGAATGGTGTTTACACAGGAAAAAGTCCACTTTCAACAAATCTGAAATCCAACAGATGTTTCCTTCTATCTAAGCAAAACAAGTTTGTGACCCTTTTCTGCCCAACCAAAAATCCTCAAAATTAATTCTGCAGGAAAAAAAAACTTCCATACTTGAGAGAATGATCTTGAAAAATGAATTCAGAAAAATTTGTATTTCATAATTGCAGCTGCTACTGAAGTGAGTTAACTAAAAAAAAAAAAGTGTTCTTTAAAGAGAATATTTTATGATCCGGATTTGAAGAGATGCAATATGATAATTATAATTTGGTTTGTGCTGAAAAGAGAAAGTAGGGCAGGCTGTTACTCACACTGCTCTATATTGCAATTGTTCTCCTCAAATCAATTTAAGCTCTCTTCTCCAGACCTCCCACAACATCCCTCCAAAACTCCCAGCTGCTCTCGGCTTCCACAAATCTCTTAAGACCTCTCTTCCTCTGCACACAACACTTAAATAACAGAAGCATCTGAGCAGAGCATAAAAGGCATATCTCTTAATTTTATTTTAATACTACTACCAGTACCTGCTAATCACACATCAAGTGTAAGTACTTTGTAGAAGTGTAAAAGAGAAAGAATTTCAGGCTTTGCCTAAGTCATGCTGTTGAGATTGCACCACACCTGAAACAGTCCCACACCTGACTGTTTCACTTACCATCATGAGAAAGTTTCAGGACTTTCAGGTTCTACCTGATGTCATTACACCAATACACAGCAAAGCTGGATCTGGTGACATTCTGTTGCACAACTGAATGCTGCAAAGACAGCATCTTCCAAGGGGTTGGTGCATTTTCTGTACCCACCAATACCTTGCTCCAGAAGATGAATTGAGATGGACCACAGGTTTCTGAGAATTTTATCCATTTTTTATGTCTTTTATAAAATGCAGCTGCAGAGGCCAAATAAATTACATTAACAGCTAGAAACAAGCATCAAGGCCAAAGTTAAAACAGTCTGAAACATGGGTATGACAAGTATAGTCAGTACATGCAACTTTCTGTGCCTAACTTTACCTCCACAAGTCCCTTCTTCACTAGATATAACTCCAGTTATTTCTTGTCCTATCTATTTTGTGAGCATTATACAAAGTTCCCATCTCTACAATGTTTTATGTGCAGCACGCTCAGCAATGAGGTTCCTTACCCCAGCTGAAGTCCCTGCATGTTCCAAGATGAATATAACAAGACAGGACTGCAATCTGCCAGCAATATAATGCACCACTATTACAACCAACACGAATATTAGCAGTGTGAAGGAGACCCACTGAGATGCAATTCAAATCTGCCTATGAAACAATTATAGCAGAAGGCAGAGATGGTTTTCTCCCTCCCCCAATAATCCTATTTGTCCTTTAAATAGATCTGAAGTATAATCTCAAACTGTCAGCATTTCTGTAAAGAAATACCAGCTCAGACCTAATTGGATTTGTCAGACAATCATAGCTAAACAGTTCTCTGAGCTCCAACAGCTGAACAACTAGGGAAAAGCCTTCCACATTGTAATGTGTAAGAATATGAAAGTTTATTTCAAGAGGAAAAATTTCCTCTGAAAGTAGGTGGTAGAAAGGTACAATTTGTTCCACGGAACCCTATCCCTTAGCAACATAATGATGTGGTGTGGCATACCTAAGGTTGTGTGACTTGCTCCATATAGGCAACTATCTAGAGTTACCTGTTCATACATTGTCCCTTTGGGCTGTTCTGAATTCACCCCAGTTGCTAAAAGTTTGCTTGTGTAAACCTGCCTTTGTTTTAGACTTTTTGACCATGAATAAGAAAACGAGGGGAAAAGAACGGGGAATTTTGACATGAACATGTAACAGTAGCATTCAAGAAGAAAACAAGTATATATATATATATTGCATGTAAACAAAAAAACTAGTGGAATATGTATTGTATCTGAAGAGCAGAAATACTTCTTATTCCTCTGGACTTCCTGACTTTTTGCATCACCTATATATATCTATATATATCTAGATATATAGATATACGTACACATGAAACTTGCTCTGTCATTATTGTATGTTAGGCTGTTCTGTTCAGGCTATTGTGGGCTGGAATAGTGCATTTTTAAAGACAGTCTAGGGCATAATGGCCTAAAACCCACACTAACCTCATTCTTTGAACAGTGAGACAGAATACATTACAGTGATGTACAGGTTTCAAGTTCAGGAAGTGTATAGGCCAAATCTTAAAACACTTTCAATGTCTTCAAACTGTGGTTTCATTAATGAAGACTTAGATTATTCCATATGTGTCCAGATCCAGAAGAAAAGTTATTATACAGATTTTATGTTGAAAATTGAAATGATGTTCATTCCACTGACTTTAAAATAACAGTTGTGCAGGTTTTAACATTTTTACGTTTTGAGAATAACAACTTGAGCATTCAGCAATGTTATTTTCTGTATTTGCAGAGTTGGCAACCAGCACATATGCGACTGAGGAATAAAAGTAAACTTTGCATAAATTCCAACCCATGTTTTGATCTGGGTCAAGAGGAAATTCAGATAATGTATTTAGTCTATCACCATCAGCATCAATACTCGGGAGTTATACACTCTCTTACCTGTTGGCTTATCCACACCAAGGAATCCAGCCTGTCCCAGGGTTTTAAACACTTTATGTGCTGGGAACTGTCCTTCTTCTTCCCACTTGTCCACAAAGGGATTAATCTCCTTATCGATAATCTAGATTTGAAAAATAAATTTTAGATGTTAATAACACAGACATTTCTACACAAACAACTTTGATTAATTTTTCCTAAAAATTGTAATCTAGGAAGAAAAGAGAAAGGTACAGGAAAAATTTTGAAAGTCCAATAATTTTCTTATTTCCTGTTGGATATCCTTATTCTCCACCCATCCACAATTATTACAAAAGACTTAATGAAGCATATATTAATAATTCTTTTAGCAATTACAACTACTAAATCAGTAAGCCACCAGGGACTGTTCAAGCCTCTCCAAGTCCCATGAAAATGGTAGTTTCCCCTCACCATTTGTTACCTTTTTGGGTACAGATCCTAGAAAGTGACAGGAAGGGAAATCTGGATTATCCTCAAAGGAATGTTGCCAAAAAAGGTTGATGAGTTGTTCACAATGACCACACACAGTACCAAGACAGGCAAGTGGGAGAGACTTCATTTCCTCTCCCTTTACCTGAAACGCTCCCAAGGAAGTCAATGCTGTTCAGTTATGTTCAGTCTGTATTTAGATTTTCCTACAGTCTGACAGAACATATACTGGAAAAATATAGTCTCCTTCCAGAATTTGTAATATTCCCAAGTCTAGTCCCTGGGCAACTCTTGACTATTCTACTGCTGCACACCTACTAAAAGTCAACGTCCCACGCTGCCTGGCTATTGTTCTTGCTCTATTCAGGCTGCTGTCTTCCCATCCAGCTGTTGCAAGCAAAACACATCCGGGATACAGCCCCTACATTCAGTAACACTTTCAGGTTTAAGAGCACAGGGGCCAGATGTTTCACTCCACAAAATTCCACATTTCCTTGGCCATGGGCAGGAAGCAAAATGGGCAGGTGCATTTTTGCTGCCTACCAGCCCAGTGTGAGGCAGATGCAGTTTTGACAGCTCTCAAAAGGAGTCAGATGTATCCTGACCACCTCTCCTACATCCACCAGCCAAACCAGGAGTTGGCACAGGCTGCTTCTACCATGTGGCCAAATGTACTATGCACCTGTGTCAGCCAGCACAAGGGGGTCCAAATGGAAACAAACCCTACCAAAACAAACACCAGTTGCCAATAAAAAGCTAATGTTTTTAACCTGTGACCATGATTTTACTGCTACACTGTTTCATGAAGAGAGAATTTACTTTTTCAAGAACTTACTCATCTTAGTCTTCTCTCCACACTAAATAAATAAGCCCTGTGGTGCTAACTATTTCTTGAGCTGGAAATAGAATCCTCTCCCTCCCGAACTGCTGTGTTTTTGAGACCCTGAGGAACTTTCTTCCAAACTATCTATTTATTGAACATTCTTTGGAGAACTCCAGCCCATATATGGCTGGTTTCTGCCTTCCAGTTGGCCACAGAAGTAAGCATACTTCATTGCTCATAACAGAAAAATCACTTTTTCAATTCTCTCACCAAATTCTGAAAAATTAATATACTAGATGTTCAAGTCATTCAGTAATTATCATCTCTCTTCCTCTCTTATATTGATTAACATAGACCTCATGATCAATAGTAACAAAATACCAGAACCCTATCTAGGAGAGCTCACCTTTCATTTCTATATTGCAATATCCTAGATGCTCAGATCCTAAGATGCTGACCCTCAATGTTGAGTTGCAGGTGGTGAAATACCTTTTTGACTGTAGTAACGTCTGACAATACTCATCAGGTAATGTCCAGGGAAATGCCTGAAAGAGGTTATGAAATACAGAAAGTTTTCCCAGTGTTTTGATGGATCTTGGCAAAAATATGAAGTAAATGTACTAACAGAATTTTATGTTTGTTATGGCTGGTGCGGGGCCAAGTGTTTCACAGCCTTCATACAAAGCTACCTTTGAAGTTAAACAAAGTCAGAAAAATGACTGAGGCATGATTTCTTCTGCTTGCTCCTGTGCCTTTGAGGAAAACTCAAATCATTTAACAAAGCTGAATTATTACCAGGTAAAGTTTGCCATGCTGAGTAAAAGAAGATCTGTTTTGCATGACACAACAAAAAAACCCAGAGATAACCTCACTGCACAAACCACAAATGGTTTATGCCCCTAAACTCAAAAAAAGATTAATAGCACTGTCCAGATGCTGATAGCCACAGTTTTTTCTTAGCTGCTGAACGCTATTGGACTGTATTTTTACAAAGAATTAAATAGGTCCTGTCAGAAGCTTTTACGCTTCAGTCACAAACTTCTTCAAAAAGTCCCACGTTATTTTATAATCATAAGGGGTTCAGAGGCACCCTTATGATTATAAGGTGTGCCTTGTACTAACACATACAAACACAAGCCATATTGCTGGAGAATTGCAGTACTGCTCAGCTGGCTGATTCTTCAGCACTGATTATTGGATATTATCATCCCTTCCTAGAAAAGACAAACGGAAACAGGGAGAGGTATTTTCAAAAGGTCAAGTCAGCAATGAGTGAAGGAACACAAGTAATTACTAAACATGTGCTTAAAACATTGCTGAAGATGGGTCAAACAGTGTTGTACTCCTAACCACTAGATTTGTCCCTTTCCTTGGCTTTAACAACTTCCTCACATTTGTACCCTCAGAGAAATATTTCGCACTTGAACTGCAGACAAGTATTATGTAGGTACCTTAACTTAAACCATAATGTATACATGCAGTGTTTGGAGAATATAGAGCAGTGAGCTTTAGGCAGCATGCAGCAACTGTTCTGCTGATTTATATATGCTTTATCATCCCATGGAAATCATGGGTGTCAGCATCTAAACTTGCACCACTAGGATACCAACTACAACAATATGTCAAACTTCTATCAGTAGAAATATTTAGCACTGCATACTACTGATGCTATCTGACAGATATTCCCAGCCACAAAGGAAATCCTTCCACCTGGTCTAGCTAGTCAAATCTCAGTGGCATTTGGGATGTAAAGTTGATTTAGGAGCCATACAACTTTCCCACCTGCTGATAAATTTCCAGTAAATCACAACAGAAACTCTGTTATTTTCCTGACAGCGAGGGTACAGTAAGTCTCATGTATGGGACTGGTGTTTTTCTCAGGCTGCTTCATCTGAACAGTGACGATGCAAACCTAAAGGACTAGGTTCTGGAGGCAGCCTTGGTTTAGCCTGCATCCCCACGAGAATTCAGGCTACTCTCTGGGGAGCCTCCCAAAGAATGGCCTCAGGGCTGGTATCAGCTGTGAATTATCTTGAAAAACACTGGTGGATATTTGCCCAGTCGGAAATTGATAGAGCCAACAAACTCGTTTTTTGTTGAATGATGGTAAGAAAAATAAAAGTGTTTTCATTAAAAATAGTTTTGACAAAATTTCATGAAAACAGCACCTGCAGCTTCCTGCCCAGGAATGAGGAAATGCAATGGCAGGGTTATAGAGGGGACAGACACGGAAATTCAAATTTTTGAAAAGCAGATTATTCTAATTTCTCTTTAAAACAAAGCAATTAAAATATCCCTCCAAATGATTGCCAAAGAGTTGCACGTTTTGACTATATTCTATTGGAATTTATTGTACTATTTAAATGAGAAAAGTAACAAAAATTTACAGTTGGGGGTTTTCCTTCACATAATGCTCAGTATTCTGTGCTGATATTGTACCTACAGGTACCGAGAAACATTAGCAATTGCCATTTAATTCTCTCTGCATTCTAAAATAAATGCATTCTACAACAGTAGAAACTGTAATTGAATTAATTTGGGTACTGAGAGCATGTACAGATGTTCTTTACATCAATTAAATTTCTTTTCATTATTCACCAGCAAGTTTACCTTCCATCATGCAATTCAAACCAGAAATTAAAGGCCATACCACTTCTACACACAATACCTCTTATATCCACAGCTTATGATACTGTAGAGTGGTAGTACATTTCAGCACACTATTAGCAAAATGATGAATCTTGAAAATAATACACTGAATTCTTAAAAAAATTACACAAACCTTTCTAAAGTTAAGTTATATGTCAGTTGAGATTAGACTAACTTACTAGAAAAGCAAGAGAAAATGTCCAAGCAAAAGCTATTTCATATTAAGATTAAATGGATTCTGAGGGCGCAGAATTAGAATAGATGTTAGGAACAAATTCTTTACTCAGAGGATGATGAAGCACTGCAGCAGGCTGCCTAGAAAGGTTGTGGATGCTCCATCCCTGGAAATGTTCAAGGCCAGGTTGGATGGGGGCCTGAGCAACATAATCTAGTGGCTGGCATCACTGCCCATGGCAGGAGGTTGGAAATAGATGATCTTTAAGGTCCCTTCCAACCCAAACCACTCTATGATTCCGTGACATAACTGTACAATATTATGTTAGGAGCAGCATTTTTTTCCCTTTAAATCAAGTTACAGTAATCAAACTTAGCTCTATTAATATAATAACTGAAGATGATGCAATTAATAGGATCTTTAATGTAAAAAGCAAATAAATAAGCAACAAACTTCTGTGCTTCCAGTCCCCATGACACATGCTAGGAGACCGTAGCAGAAGTCAGGAGCTGCCTGAGTGCCTGAGTCACCCCACATGGTAGTGGCAAGCCCGGACCTGACACGGGCAGTGCCCCAGCAGGAGAGCCAATCGTTCAGTCTCTGATGACATGGGGTGCAGAAACAGAGGCAGCATGTGACTTAAAAAACCACAAGTTAAAAAAAAAACACATTAAACAAATATGATTTAACCACACAGCAGCCAGAAAATGCTCCCTGCAGCACTAACCCTGTCTGCTCATATGAAGTTATTTAGTGCACTTTCTTCTGGCAACCAAAATCCAGTATTATGAGCTTGTCTGAATTCTGCCATGACCTAGAGAGCAAAGTTGCAGCCTACTGCTTCCTCTTTCAGGATGTATCACCACCACTGGGCAAAGGTCTCCAGGAAGTTTTGCAGGACCGTTTTCTGGTGATTGTTTTCTTTGGGGTTTTTTGTTTGCTTTTTGTTTAGTTTTTTTGGTTGGTTTTTTTGGTTGGTTTTGGTTTTTTGGGTTTTTTTGTTGCTGTTGTGTTGATTTGGGCTTTT